ACATTTTTTATCAAATATTGCTTTTTTAGTTTAGCCTGAATATAAAAAGATCTATTTTCAATTTCATTCTCAAGTGTTCTTCAACTTGGTTTTTATTCTTGAATAAGTTTATGTTTTTTGTACGTTGATAATTTATGTAACTTGATTACATTACTAATTTTACAACTTTTTTTATTCCAGATGCCTTAGCTGATGAACTGATGAACTGATTGCTTGTAGTATAATGAAGAACTATAAAAAAGTAAAAAATAGTGAATGGGTTGGTGATATTGCAACAGAAAGAGTTTTCAATCGTGATGAAACACCACAGTTTGTCAACTACGTTGTAGATAGTACTGCCACTGGGTTAGTTTTTGCTGGCAAAGAAGAGCAGGGGCGTTTACAGGAAATTTTTTGGGTAAGTCCATAAAAAAATTATTCCCCCTCTGCCTCCCTATTTTTTTAGGGGGAGGGGACTTGATTTTGACTAGATTGAGTGTATTTTATAAAAATGTTTTAATTCTTTAAATGACTTGTAACATTGATAAAATGGAAACTAAAGCTCAAAATATGATTTTTGCAAACTAAAAAAATTATTTTTTGAAAATACTCAGTTGTCGTAATGTATAATATATATATGTTAAAATTTTTTACAAGATTTGTGAAAACAATTTACTTTTAATTATAAATAAACTTTATAAATACTTAGAGTCAAAAAACTTATTGGAATAACTGTACAATGCTAAATGTTTTTACAAAAATGTTTGGCTATGAAAATAGCTGTTTAAAAAAAAAGCAGCTAAAACATTTGAAGTTATACTTTTATCGTATTTGAATTTTATTTAAAACACAACTCATAAGTATTTTTAACAAACTTGAAAAGGTTTGTTGCTTGTAATGTTTCAGTATTAATAGATTAAAGCTCATTTTTGAAATTCAGGCAGTTGAGTGAAATTCAACTAAACTTCCCACAGATCAAATTTGAATAATAAAGCCTTAGGTTTGGAAATAATAAATAAACCTAATAAAGTCTTGGGTTAAACAAGACACTAAAAAATATGATTTGGTTTTCTCAACTAGTATAAAAAAACATTGAATTTCTGCAATTGTTTTTAGAAGAAACTGAATATTAGAAAGAAGAAATTAAAGTACAGGTGCTTTATAACACTTCCAAATTGTATCAATCAACCATTGTGTTAATCTCAGTAATCTAGATAAAACTCAGATAGTCTAGCAAAGAAACAGCGATAACCAAGTTAAAATAATTTGAAATGCAATTTTTAGGCTTGTTTAGAGGTGTTGATTAATATTATTTATAACTATAGAGACAAAATCTTTTAATGCTTGAATAAGATTTAAACTATAAAAATTATCATTATTACTTGATCGCAAAATTATGTATTTAAAAAAGTTATATTAAAAACATGTCTTGTTATGCACAGTGCAACAATAAAATCAAAATTTGTTATAAATTCAGAAGAAGCAGTAGCAGAGGCTGCACCATTAATGACATTCTTTGAGACAGAAAACCACAGGTATAAAAAACTTTCGTAAGGTATCCATGCCACAATTTCACATTTCATAACACCCAAAGAAAAATCAGTAATAGCTTTTATGAAAATACTAAGTAAACAAGTTTTTTCTTTAATGTGGTTCATCATAGTTCCTATTACGATTGTCATGAATCTCATAAAAGATAAACAATATGGCTAATTAAAATTATACTTAATAAGTCTAAAATCTTCTTGATTATAAAAGAAAACCAAGAAACAAATACTAGTTTTTATCGATGCAACTATAAACAGCTTCTACTTGTAATAACTCTCTGTCTTCCTTTCTTGTATCCAAAGGATATCGTGATATCAAAAGTTCTACACAATTAAAGTAATATTCGGTTGCCTATTTTTAAAGGAAATGATGCTTTTCTTTAACATACTAACTTTTCTTTAAAATGCTATATAAACTTGTGAATTAAGCGACATTTTGAACTAATCATTGGCCATGTTATATGTTTAACAAAATTAATTAATTTAATAAAACACAAATTTAGCAGGGTGTAGGTCAAAGGGGAAGTCCGAAATTTATTTTTTACATTTGAAACCTTGTTTCTCCTTATTTATTACTTAAAATGCAAGTTATTAAAATGATACACAGTCTAGTGTAATAAAACTGGGTATGTATATTGATATATTTTGATATATACTAGTTGTTACTAACTAATTTTACCACCTGGTGATAGTTAAACAATAAAACTTAATGAAAATTCTACTCAGGGTGTATGTCAAAAGGGAAGTCCAAAGTTTGTTCTAACTGAAATAATCATTTTGATTTTTTTTAAACCAATGAAAGAAAAATTCAAAAATTAGAGTTTTGAATAACAAAATAAAATAAGGTATGTCAAATCAAGTTTCTAATTAAGTTATTTAACTCAAAAGTTAGTTTAACCTCCATCAAAATATTGTAATTATTATTTTTTAACCATCGCAAAATTTTGAAACCGGTATACTAATTTCCGGTTTTTAATATTTTGGAACTTGAACCGTTTTCCGGTTTTTAATTTTTTTCCAACCGTTCAAGATAATTAACCGTGCATAATTTGTTTTGTTTTAGCTGTAGTTTGGTTTTAATAGTTATATATAGTAAGACTTTTTTTCAACAATATAATCAAGTTGAAAAACTTTTATTTAATTTTTTCGGGTACGTCCAACGACGTAGCGGACATCCCCTAGACACGCCCCTGAAGAGACATGTAAAAAAATGATTCGCGAAAACAGAGAGTGCATAACTATAAACCCAATTGTTTCATTATCAGGTTAGCCAACGAAACAACTTTTTACAACTAAAGTTGTGGCTTTTATAGTTTTATATTTTAAAAAGTTAAATATAATATTTATACTTTTAGAGGAGGTTTCATTGTGTCAGGTAATATTTGCTGGCAAAGGCATAACGAGCCAGATAGCACCACAAAAAGCTGTCAGTAACATAAAAAATTAGATCATCTCCACAACAGAGAGTGGTTCGCAAGATAATTGTTTTATATTGGCGTATAAGAAACTTGATAAACATCTCACCGAACAAGTTATAGAGCGACCAGTTGTGCTTCTATCAGATGGTCATTCGTCGCGATTTGACTTTAAAGTTCTAAATTTTTTGCGTGAAAAGCAAATCAATTTATTTGTGTCTCCTCCTGATACTTCCAGACAATAAATCCATAAAGATTCATGAATATCCTTGGAACAATATGGAACAATTGGGCATCCGCTGCCAATATCGTAGCAGCTGCTAAGAGAGTTGGTATAAGTAAGAATAGTCTTAATATTGATGATATACAACAAGATAAATTTGAACAAGCAGCTCTCCTTATTGATTCAGCCGAATATTGGAAATCAATAAAATGTCACAATCATTCATTGAGGAATCATATGAGAAAAGCCTCAATTTAGCAGAAGTGCCTGGTTTACTTTCAGTAAACCGGGTAAAACCCAAGGAGGTTAATCAAGCAAAAAAAACAAGAGTCACTAATATGCATGGATCTATGGAGGCTCAAGATGTGCTTTCAAAAGTGACTTTTCTTGAAGGAGAAAAACGGAAAAAAAAAATCATGATTCAGAGGAGAAAAAGAAACATAAGCTTAAAGAAAAAGAACTGTTTTATCGTTGCAAACTGCAATGCTCTTGTGTAGAAGAATGTCTTGCAAAATCTTTAAAAGAGTGTTCGCAATGTCATTCCATTCATAAATCTGTATGTAGCAAAATAGCTTGTCGCATTGATAACAAAAAGCCGACAATGATTCTCCCTGCATCTGCAGCATCATCTCCTGATTCTTAAAAAAAAAAACACTCTATTTTGGTTCTGATTCAAATAAATCTTAATGACTCAAAGATATTTCTTTTGATGAAATGTTTGTTTATTGCATGTCTCTTTTTCAAAATATTTTATGCTATTCAAAAAATAGTTATTGTTGTTATTGAAGCTGTTATTGTGTTGAATAACTTTTAACAATGTATATTTTGAATAATAGGAAATATGTAAAATAATAAGAAAATACTTTTCTTATTATTTTTCATACTTCCTATTATTCAAAATATACATTGTGATTGTATTAAAAGCTAGATTTCCTATTATAAAGCTAGTGACCCCTTAAAAATTACATCCATAGCACTGCGAAAAAAATACAAAATAAACATCTTTAAGAGTTTGTAAATGGTAAAAAAAAGTTGGTGGATTAGAACAAGTCTAACATTGTATAGAAATAAGTAAACTGCAAACCTAAAATTAAACAGTAGGAGGTCATAATGCATAAATTGAGCCATTTTTAAAACTAAAAATTTGATTTGCATTCTCTTTTTGAGGATTTTAAAATTATAAGAGGTAAATTTTTTAATTAATTTGTCACCTAGGATGTTTAGAGATACTGATTCAATCATTATTTAATAATTTCATTATATTAGTGGAACCCAGAGCTGAAAGTTTATACGTGTAGTGTTCAAGGGGGTATGTGTTTTTAAGGGAACTCTAACTGTACTTTCTACGCAACTTTCAATCGCCACTCTGGATTATTCAAGTAATTAAGTATAATTATTTACATTGTTGTTGCAATGTTAAATAAAAATATTGAAACCGCAAAACATTAAAAAAAAAAATTATTAAAGAAGCATTTCTAGGAAATAACCATTTTAATATTTACAAACAAAGTAAGTCACTAATATAATTTTACAAATATTTAATGAAATTCACATTATAATAAATATATTTTTAAAATATTAGCTAATACAATTTTAAATAAAATTTTGGTAGAAATATAAGATAAAATTTAGAAATAATTTTTAAATTTAGAAAGAGAATTTTTCTAAATTTAATAAAAATAAAAATAAAATTTTTTCAAATGTAAAAATTTTACTAACGGATTTTATTGCCACATTTTCTTTGAATTAATCTACGAGTCAATCAGAACAGAAATTTTTTTTAATTTTGGATTTACTAAATTAGTTTTTAGAAATACCTCCAAGGCGATCTGTTTTTTTTTTTCGGATACTACGTACATAATTAATAAAAAAATTTAAAACAGTAAACCATTGAAAAAAAATGCAAAGAATTTTTTTTTTTAGTAAACAGAACAAAAACTGAAAATAGTCCACTTACAACTGTCAAATATAAGAAAACAGATCACCGTGTACATAAAAAACCTGTTTATAAATAAAATAATAAAAAGCATTCCACAATTACAATACATTACTTTTTAATATAGTTCTTATGATAAAAAAGAAAGATTCAAATTGTCCTCATCCTTTTTCCATATCTTATTTAGCGGAGTTCGAAGATTTTTATTTGGCATGAACGCTATTTTATTTTCTAATAAATGTACTTTTACTTCAGATGGTGATTTAAGAATTCTTTCGTCAGTACGGAAGTTTACGGGTATGCTTGCACTGGATAGTCGAATCGACCTACGAACTGGAGTCACTACTTTTTTGCAGGAACGGCCTTTCATTCTTAAAATATATTTAACATATATAGAATCACCTAACAACAAAAGATTCATATAGGACTAATTTAAAAGAGGATGTCTATTAAACTTTGGTAAATTAAACAAACATTTAAAGTAGTTTTTAGAAATACATGTAACTCTTCATTTGATTTTTATGAAGGCATCATATAGACATATATCATATAGACATATATCATATAGACATATATATTATAGGCATCATATTGCTGAGACAAATATAAAATTATGTGTTGTAATAGCAATTATTTAATTATCATCGCAATTATTAGTTAATACTTCCATTAATTGGTTTTGAACTTTGCATTATTCAAGAAAATGACTGATTAACATTTTTGTTAAATTTATTTCAAAATACTTAATTTTTTATTTCAAAATTTATTTCAAAATATTTAATATTTGCGTTGGCTTAATTGAAATATCTAAATTGAAATATACTTCACTAAACTTTGTTTTAAACTTTTGTTTTTTACATAATTAAGGCTTCTTTTTAGTAATAAATAGTAATCATGATTGATAAATGCTGTGTTTATTGAAAACAACACAACATTTATTAAATATATTTAAATAAATATATTAAGAAAATGATTTTAGAAAGACATGGGTTATACTTATCAAAAATATTTTGTTTATATTTTAGGGATATTCAAGGACTGTACAAGAAATAAGAATACAGAAATTCTCAAAAGTAAGCTTTAAAAGTATTTAAAAAATCGAAAACAAACTGATTTAAAATGTGAGACAAAATACTCTTATTTTTTTCTCTGTCTTTTTTTAAAGGCAACAATGTTATCTGCAACAATAGAATCACTGACTTTCATGTTATTGAAATAAATATTTGAAATGATAGAGTGTATAATTTCTTTTCCACAATTTCGGTGATTTAAAGATAAAAATGCTTGGTAACCTTCTCTACTTTGCTGCTATATGATGTTGCATCTGAGTCTGGTAAATAACATCAAATAAATCATCCAGAATAGCAAATCACAGACATTTAGAATTTGTCATTCTAAAAGGAGTAAACAATTTAAATTACTATAACCATTTGACTCCTGTTGACAATTTTGATTACAAAGCCATTTGGAACATATTTCAAACTTCTGAATCAGTTTTTTGGCAATAAAACCAGCAATATAACTAGCAACTTCACGAGAATCATCTGATAAACTCATACAATCTAAACATCTTTCTTTAATTTGAACCATCAAGGATCTAGCATATTGTGTATCTTCAACAGCACTAATATTTAAAAAAACTTGAATTCCTTCCTTTATTTGGATTATCTTTTCATTAAAGATAACAACTTTCAAACTGACAAGGAACCTGCCACCACTACTTGGCGGTATCGTCCAAATCTTCTTTTTTAACGGATCACTTTGAAAACGAGCAGAAAACGACCTTCCAACAGATCTTCTATTAATGAAGCTTGACAATAAAGTTCTTTTAAGTCAGAGGTGGAAAAATTAAAAAAAAATTGTACTAAAGTAAAAGTACTGACGCTTGAGTGAAATTTTACTTAAGTTCAAGTAAAAGTTACCGGTCAAAAAGTTTACTCAAGTAAAAGTAACAAGTAGCTTATTAAAAATGTACTCAGTGTAAAAATTACTGCATTATTTTTCAGTAACAAAGCTGTCGAATAAAAAAACAAAAATCACGTAGTCTATTCTTTGAGGAGATAATGATACAAAGGAGATAATGTATATTTCTCAAAATTTGGAATTTTGGTGTTTTTCCATTCATTTAACCATTCAGCGAAAGTTCGAAAAAAATCAGTTTTACTATTAATAGTAGCAGCATTTCCAAGACGGTTATTAGAAAACTGAGTTTTTAAATTTGTAATTATCCACCATTTGTTAAAAAGAGTTGGGAAAAATGCAATATCGAAACAGTCGGGGAAATGATTTTATTGCTGCTGCTGAAGTTTTACCTAAAGCAACATTGACATGTTGGTTGTAGTTTCCGGGATGGACAACTTTGCTATTTATTTTTGGTGCTTTTTTTAAACTTGCATTTAACAGGCTATCCTTTTCTAATAAATCATGAAATATTTTCCATGATATTTTTTCCTGATTGAACGCGAAATTTATCTTAAAAAGCTGAAATAAAAATTTGAAAAAATAAACCTTTTTTTTAGTAAGTTGTTTCAATTAATTTTAATCAGACGCACTGTGTCAAAAAATAGGTAATTTTTTTGTGGTTTTTATTAATAAACAAATTATTTTGTATTTTACCATGTGCATTAAGCAACTTTGTAAAAAAGAAAACATTTGAAGCATGATTGTCACCTCGAGCATTAAAACTGTTTTTTACTTAAGATTGAACCAGGTCATTTCAGTCTTCAACCAATCGCTGTTTAATTTTATAATTAAAACTGCTTTGACGACACAAGAAACTTTCTTTTAAACCAATTACCATGAAAGAAACAATAACATTCATTTTCTTCACTAATCCTAATTACACCTTCACCAGAATATTCTGCATATTTTTGCAAATACATTTTATCAAAAATTATTATAAGATCATTTGATAAGCTCTCATTTTCATGCAACAATTTCAAAACATTCATAGAATCAATTTCGCCTGCTTTAAGCTTGCTTAACAGTGATGGAAATAGGAATAGTAAGTGACCAGGGTTGATATTTGACCAGGACTAGTTCTGGGTTTGATAAAATATAGCTGGGTCCAGGTTTGTGACCGGGGCTGCATAAACATTTATACATTCTAAAGTATATATTTTTTATCAAAAATTCATGTGATATTTTGTGTATATATATGCATATATAAACATCATTATAATTAACATGATCATCATAATCATGATTACCATCGTTATCATTATGATCATTATCATGATCATCATCATCTTCATGATCTTCATCATTATCTGATCATCTTCTCTTTCGACAAATACTACACCATATAAATAAAAAAGTTTATATAAATATGAAAGGACATTGTATGCCAGCATCTAAATAAATAGCAAACATATATGATTATATTATTATTGAGTTCAGCTGTCTCATCTTGTGATCTTAGTGTTGATGGTTATCTTCCTTTAATTCGTAAAGACTCCAATAGTCACATGCTTGGCCTGGGCATTTACATTCGTAAGAACTCACCCATTTGTCGGGAAACTAGGTTTGAATCCACAGACTACTCTTTTATGTGCTTTCGTTTAGCACCACTTCACTCTATCACCTTTCTCTTTGTTCTATATTGCTCTCCCTCATCTCAAGACTGCACTCTTCTTGATGTTATTTCTGATCATATTGACCAAGCCTTCTCTCTTTATCCATCAGCCAATATTGTTGTTGTCGGTGACTTCAATGTTCATCACACTGAATGGCTTGGCTCTAGTGTCAGTGACTCTGCAGGTATTAAGGCCCACAACTTTTGCCTCTCTCAATTCCTAACTCAAATAGTCAACTTTCCAACTCGCTTTCCAGATAACCCGAATCATTTACCTTCTCTACTCGACTTATGCCTTGTATCTGATTCTAGTCAGTGCTCAGTTTCTCCACACTCACCTTTAGGGGCATCCGATCATGGTTTGGTCTCTCTAAAACTATTATCTCATACTTCTTTATCATCAGAATCCCCCTATCATCGCACATCTTACAACTACCTTGAAGCTGACTGGGACTCTTTCCGTGATTTTCTTCGTAATGGCCCCTGGGTAGAAATCTTTTGTCTTCCTATTGACAAATGTGCTTCTTACATAACTTCGTGGATTCAGGCTGGCATGGAATCCTTTATTCCCTCTTGACGATTCCAGGTCAAGCCTCACTCTTCTCCATGGTTTTGCTCGCATTGTGCTGCTGCAATTGCCAATCGAAACCATTACTTCCATATCTATCAATAAAACAATTCTCCAGAACACAGACATCTGTTTATTACTGCTAGGAACCATTGTAAAAAGATTTTGTCTAACGCCAAAGCCCGCTATTCTCAGATCATGAAATCTCGTACTTCATTACAAAAGTTAGGCTCTCGCCACTTCTGGAGAATCTTTAATAGTATCAATAATAAGGGCAAGTCTGTAATTCCACCTATTTTGTATGGTTCAGACTTTGTCACCTCACCTAAAGACAAAGCTGAATTATTTGCTAAAAACTTTTCATCAATATCATCTCTTGACTCCACTAGTTGCGTTCTACCTGATATAGCCATCAAACAGGTTGATCCATTGCTTGACATCCATATCACTCTAGCTTCTGTATCTAAAATGATTTCCTGCTTAGACTCTTCTACACCTTGTGGCCCGGACAACATACCTGTTATAGTCTTGCAGAAGTGTTCTCTGGAGCTGTCGTCTATCCTTTCAAAACTGTTTAACAAGTGCTTATTGAGTCTTGTTTTCCAGTCTGCTGGAAAGCAGCATCTGTTATTCCTATTTTTAAAAATTCTGGAGAGCGATCCGATTCTTCTAACTACCGTCCCATTAGTCTTCTTCCTATCATAAGCAAAGGTATTTGAATTTTTAATTAACAAACACTTAATCTCTCATCTCAAAACTCATAACCTACTTTCTGATCATCAATATGGATTTCGATCTTTAGCTGATTTGCTAACAGTAACAACCGATAGGTTTTATCACGCATTAGATAAAGGTGGAGAGGTTAAGGCCATCGCTCTTGACATTTCTAAGTCGTTTGATAAAGTTTGGCATGCTGGTCTTCTCCATAAGCTTTCTTCTTACGGTGTATCTAGAAACATCTTTAAGATTATCAAATCCTTCCTTTCCAATCGTAGTATAAAAGTTGTCCTCGATGGACAGCACTCTTCTTCTTATTCTGTAACCTCAGGGGTTCTTCAAGGTTCAATCCTTGGCCCTATACTCTTTTTAATATACATTAACGATCTTCCAGATATTCTCACATCTAAGGTGGCATTGTTCGCTGATGATACTACCATTTATTCTTGTCACGATAAGAAGCCAACTCCCTCTGATTGCTTGCAGGGAGCATTTGAGCTTGAAAAGGATCT